ATCGCGCGGGCTTAAAAGAACCGGCTGCACTCACGCATCCTGCGTGCGTAAGTGCAGATGCCCGGCAGATCAGCGCGAGCGAATACTGTTTTCTTCTATGGTAAATGTATATGTCGATCTCTGTGCTTAAGAGGGCGCCATAAATTAAAAACTTTACCGACAAAATACTAAAGTGACTAGATTTTCCAGTCCTAATTCGGGACACTTCATAAATGTGTGGGGAGGGGGGTTAAAAGATCTGAAAATTATTTGACAATTATTGAAAATGATGACAAATCGGTGAATAGCATTCGAAAAAATCGGGACATCTGGTCACCTTACGGAATACTGACTGTGTAATTCGACATGAACATTAAGAACGTGTTTAGTTATAGGCACTTTTACCTGATCGTTTTTTTTTTCTACAAGCGTAACATTCATGTTAGACCACGTGCGAGAGATTGCGACAATTGCGAGATTGGATTTTGATTAGTCTCTATCTTAACTCGCTTTGACCCGATCTCCGATTTGCAATCCTCGAAACATAGTTTGATACTCGGTTCAAAAGAGAGAGAGAGAGAGAATACTCCGCGTTCGAGTCGCGCGTTATTTTATATGCGACACACAATCTCCTCTTATTCTGATCTCATCACAGTGAGTTCAAAAGAATTTCCCGTTAATTATTTCAGAACACGGCGTTTTGTCACGGTGATTCTCGCCGGTCGGTAATTGGCGCTCTCCTTCGCCAGATCGGCTATCGACATTCTGCCGAGAAGAGGCGCGGTTCCTCTGTACTGATGCTAATCCGTTAAACCTCACCTCACGGTAATTCGTTGCGTTAACAAGAATAATTGCATTGTGAACATATTCATGCATTCCTGCGCGTGCGTATCTGCACACGCGCACCTTTTACGAGAGCGGAATATGCGTCGTGCGTCAGTATCATCATCGTGCTCGAACGTGAGTGGTAGCGCTAGCGTAAAAATCACGTTTGGAGTATAATTTGTGGCAACCACTTTGCTCTTCTCCGCTTGCAAGCCAATAGAAATTAAATTGTTACATCAGCGATTTTGTGTCTCGTCGATATGAATTATTCTGCACATAGATAAAAAAGACACGGTTAGGCAACAAATCAATACGATATCGCCGATCATTGGAACACCGAGCTTTCGAAAATTTTTTACAAATATAAACAATATTTCCCTTCCTTAGTTCAATCATAAATTCGTCGACGAATTTTGTTCGGGTGAACAAAAAATCCAAGCGAAGAACATTGTTTGTGATTCACTTTATATATGTAAAATTGTAGAAAATTTATTCCGATGAGATTCTATTCGCAAAAGAAACAAAGCGCACGTACTGACTCAAACTTAAATTAACTTTAACTTTAACGCGAATTTAACTGAGCAACAGAGAGTCTGATCTCTGTTTGTCGTGCAAATGGGCGGCAAGGTGTTTATAGATTTCCGTGATTTTCACTCTCGATCGGAAAATGTCGTTTACTTCCACGAGAGAAGTAAAAGTCGCGGAATTGCAAAAAAACAGGTGTGGGACGACGCGCAGCTGCTCGGCCAAGTCGAGAAAGTCAAGAGCGCTGCCGGATACCGCGGCGTCGATGTGCTCCAAGAGGGATCTCTCGCAAAAGCCGGTTAGCCTACTTACAAGCGCGAGTACAGCTCGAAAATCCATCCGACCGGTCGCCGTTTATCGATTTGATAATATTGGTCATCATAGTCGTCGTCGTCGTCGTCGTCACCATTTTTGTCAACGTCGCCATTGACTTTCGTCGTATCAACGACAAACAGAAAGAAAAAAAAAAGGAAAAGGTAGAGACGGATACGACAAACGCCCAGAGCGATCGCTCCGTTGCAACCCGAGCTTAGTTTACCTAAGTCTTGCGCAACAGCAATTACGTCTTCGGGGTGACGATCCACGGATCGTCACCGACGGTGGAATTTCAAAACTCACCCGCCCGTTCTACAACGCTCTCGATCGAAGTCGAGAAAGTACGTCGCGATTTCGCACGTACGCCTCGGCTCGAAAATTGCAACTGTACTTTCGATCTCTCGAGAACGAACGTATACTGGGTGGATCGCGACTAACGTGCGAAACAGTGAGGACACAGATATTTTTTAATCTTATCTTTCGACCACGTCGATTTACTTTTGTGCATTCGGTACGGCATGCCGCTGAATATTTACTCTTTTTTATATCCTGATACTTTTCCAAAGGAAAAATTGGCTGAAGATTGCGCAGAATATCATTATCACGAAAGTGACGCGTGGTTAATTCGGTCAAATCGGTGCAATTTTCTAATGTAAAAGTGACTTCTTGAGACAAAATGCAAAACTCTATATGTGTTACATCGGTTTTTTTTGTTTTGATGCCAGCATAAATGTCATCAAAACACGTTTTAAGTTTGTATTAATAGTCGTTACTTGAAACTTTCCTCAGATGAGATACTCAGATTTTAATTTTGAGTTAGATATGAGCTTCTCAGCTGTAAATCGCGATTACAAATATAATTTCACATATATTATACAATTCATATAAAAAACGCAGATTCTAAATCCAGATCTTACTATCTCACGCAGGACACATTTCAAATGACGACTATTAATATAGGCCTTAGAAACATCCCAACGACGTCCAAAGCCTACAATTGTGTTCCTTGCTTCTTGTTTCTTGTTTTCTAACTTTTTCTGGGTTCAGATTTCAGTTAATTCTTAAAAAGGAAATAAAGAAAAAGAAATAGGAAGCACAGTATACGATACATCAGGCTTAAAAGAAGTAGTATATCCTTCAAACTCATTCTCGATATCATTTAAATGTCTTTTAAGCACGAATTAAAATATGTAAATTTTGTACCACATATGCGTGTGCAGTGTATAATTAATGCGTTTATATGTGTGATCTTTTGAAGCAAAAAGTCCATGTGCATATGACAATTGTCAAATAAACAAATGACAAATCGTTTCTTCCGTGTTCTTATGTTCCAATCTATTTGTAACATACAAACTATTGATCGTTTAACCTTTCAAAAAATTATTTTATCATAGACGTTATTTTGCAACGCAGAAATAACTCCAATAAAAACAAAACTGAACGTCATGCTTTCACAAAAAGCGACCTGACACGTCCAAATATCAACTCGTGTATGTCTGCAGTACTTGCATATGAGTACATACATAATCAAAGTAGACTCCAAAGCATAAAAAGCTCACTCGTATTTTGACAATCAAGTCAATCAAGCTTTTTCTACGGCAACATTAGTAAAAGGTAATTTATTTCGGTTTTTGTACGTTTACTATCGGTCCTAACATGCAAACGTCGACTTTCGGAGATATTAATATTAATAGCGGGTTTTTTCACACAGAAATATAATTTCGTGACACAAAAAGTTGGTACAAAAAGTTTTCTGTTCAAACTATTTTTCTCTTAAATCCTTGTAGGAAGTTTGAGTATCAAAAAAGGAAAGTAAGAACCCAAATAGCACAGAAAATTCAAAAAGAATTCAGTCATATGTCACCAATTCTGAATTCATTTTTTTAGATATAAAAAGAATTCTTTAGAGTTCAGTTCAGTGAAAAGAATTCTTTTTGCATCTAAAAATGAACTCAGAATTGATGACATACAACTGAATTCTTTTTGAATTCTATCTGGGAAGTCCTCCTAGAACGTCGAAAAATATATCGTCGATATATATAGTAATTATTATTCACTTCATTTCGTAGAAATTGTTAATTCTTCGAAATTCTTTTGTTTCCCATTTCATTTCACAAAGACAAAGCTTTTTTACTAATTTAATCGAGCGTCTTCGGGATACAAATACTGATGCAAATATAAACACTTCAGAGCACTCACAGTTCCGTAAAGTGGCCGAACTGAAGCGGGCAAGCGAATTCGAATGTTACGCGCGCGCATGCGTACAGCCAACGGCATGTGCGCTCACGTAGTCAAAGCAGCATCTAAATACGCGAAGTGCTTATCCGTTTCTCGACGAAAGTTTGCATCGCACAAACGACACAACGAAATATGAATTATAATTACATGTTAATTTAATTCGCTGAGTCCTTCACGAACATGTTTGTTATCAAACAAACGAGATATTGGCTTGACTACGCAGTACATCACTAGCAGACGACCCAGATAACTTCTGCTAGGAGCACTAACAGCTGAGTGGAAACGCATTGTTCCCTCAAAACATATTTCACATGTGTTTCATTCCATAACAATCGATCTCAACAAATATATATATATATATATATATATATATATATATATGTATATATATATATGTATATATGTATGTATGTGTATATATATCTCTGTATATGTGTGTGTGTGTGTGTGTATATCTTTCTGCCCTTGCTTATCGAAAATACTAAGCGCATCCCAACAATCGAGCGGGTTATCTCGCAGCAAATTTGACACGTATGTTATATAATTTAATAGGCATGTCATAATGCCTGACCTTTAATTCATGTAAAAATACTCGACTCGACATGCTACGTGCATATCGCGCGATTATCTCTCATAAGTCAGACCGTAAAAATCGCGGGACTTCTCTTTTCCTGTTTTCGACTGTTTAGCGACTTTGTCGCAGTGTCTTCAGCCTCCTCCGCGGAATAAAATGCCTCCCTGGCACACTACTTCTACCAAACACATTGATTGCCCTTTAACTACATTATCTATCCTAAATTTTCTTTTTCCGATGAAACGCATGGCTCACAAGCGGAGGATAGGTTAGGTTAAGTTGCGTGCGAATACGGCGAGACGAACCGTCGCCGCACGCTTGAGGTTATGTATGACCGTGGCGTAAAACAGCACATCTTAGTCGCGGAAATTGAATGAAACGATGCATTCTGGCAGGCGAGTAGCGCCCGACGGACTCCTCGCTCATCTCTGCGACACGTTCACGGGGGAGACGCGAGACCCGCGACGATTTAAATATGGATCTCTTCGAGAGAGACATCAGGTTTGACAGGCCGAGGGAGCATAGCCCTCGCCGCAAAACGTACCTGGCATCGTTGCAGAAGCGTGCCACACGTCTGGCTGACAGCGGGTTGTGATTTCGCACATGTACTCGTCGTAACTTCCCTCCGTAATTGGGCGAAATGTCTAAACTGGCACAGTTTCTCCGCACGAGCACAGAGCCTACCCGACGCTATACACGCCATGGCGAGGACTGTAATGAGCGTACCTGACTAACCGACCGACCGTGCAGTCTGCGGCTCTCTCGATTCGGACGTCTCTACCGATTACCCCCGCTCGATCCCACCACCGCCGCCAAGCCTCTCTCGCGCTCCTCTCCGTCTCTTTCCCATCCCAACCTGAGTGTGTCGTCTCGGAATCTCTAGTTGAGAATGAGTGCGTTCAGCGAACACCTAGGTTGCACAACTGTTGAGTAATTCGTCAACGTAATTGGTCTAAGGGCGATAGTCATAGTCGGACCTTGTATTTAAGACTGGCTTGAGTTTATTTTCAGATGTTGTGCGGACTATTTTATTGGGTACAAAACATCTGAAGATGAACTTAACATTTTAAATACACTCCGATTGTGGCTAAGTTCGTTTTGCACGTTTTTGTACTGAAAGCATCATTCTATCTTTATCGCTCATTACGTGCTGAAGTAAAATAGAATGATGTCAGCAGGAAAGCGTGCAAGACGAACTTAGCCTATGAATACTGCCCTAAATTGATGGCAGAAACCGAACAGGGTCTATTTAAATACACTTAAAGAAATTACAGAACGACAGATCCGACAGAATTGGACAGGACAATAATTTCTACTATTAATCTGTCATCATAGTCTCTGCTAGCAGATTCTGTTGTATTTCTGCTAACAATCTGTCAAAAAAATTTAGACTAAACACTATCCCAGAAATGATTCGTCAATCGATGTCGAAATGATGTCGAATCGACGTCGACTTTACAATTTCGATGTCGATTCGACATCGATCAACGAATCATTTCTGGCTGGGATACAAAATATACTTTTTTTAGATCTAAAAAAGTGTACCAATTAAATGCAAGGGTTCACTAACTTGTCTGTTCTTTTTAGCTGCACTGCTAAACTGATGCAATAAGTTAAAAGTCTGCAGGAGCCGTAGGCAAATCCTGAGTTGCATTTAGAGACCTCGTATGGCGAGAGCGCGAACCATTACCATATGTGGTAAGGGCTATCGCACACAAATTGATATAACTGCATATGCATAGCATAAGATCGTATGGACCAATGAGCATCGAATATTAAGCATCGGACACCAATATAGCGACTTAATACTCGATGCTCATTGGTACATATGGTCTTATGCTATACATATGCAGTTATGTCAATTTGTGTGCGATAGCCCTAAGGGCTATCAAAGGGCAAAGCAAAGTTAGAGAGTTAAGCCCATTCTACAATTGCGTGAACGTGGTTATAAGTGGTTGTAAGTGATTACGACATCCAATTAGAGTAAAGCAATCAGTGAATAAAACATTCAGATTGGTTGACTCTTACGTTCACGACTACGGTTACGCAATTGTAGAATGGGCTTTACACATTTTCCCGAAAACTAGATAGGAAAATGGTAGTACCAACAAAAACCCCTAGGCAACAATTTTAATTTCTACGGATTAGTGATACTGTTGAAGAAGCAAGTCTATGAATTTTGCGGAGTCGTTTTGACATATGCGTGTGTATGTGTCAAATAACAAACTGTCACTAATCAGTAGAAATTGTATTACTTAGGGGTTTTTGTTGGTACCAATATTTTTCCATCTAGTTTTCGGGAAAATGTCGTGTAACCAGTTAGAGCGAGATAAGATATACTTGTCTCACTCTTACTGCACCAGTTCATTGGTGCAGTTAAAGAGCTGCACCACTGAACTGGTGCAGTAAGAGTGAGACAAGTATATCTTATCTCGCTTTAACTTATTGCTTTACAAATTTTTTTTCAACGGATTTCCTCTCAATTGAGGAACACGAATCAGGACCACTTTCTCTACTCGCGTCCTATCAAGTTCGGTTTCTTATTCGGTCTGTTCTTTTCAGCTGCACTGCTGAACTGGTGCAATAAGTTAAAGTGAGATAAGTATATATTTTCTCACTCTAACCTATTACACCAGTTCAACAGTGCAGCTGAAAAGAACAGACCACTTATCTCTTACTACATGGTCTATACACACGTCTCATACAAGCGTATTGTTCACGCGGCGCAAGAGCAGGAAGGTTGGGTCAAGTTAGTTAGATAAAGACAAACTATTGGACGCCATCCTTGTCTCTCCTTAGTTGTGACGTCAGGCGCATCCCCCCTTTCCCTCGGCCAGCAGCCAGAGCTTCCTAGTCCAATCAGAAAATGTTTTCTAGGCTTTCGAGGCGGCAAAAGCGTAATAAAGACTGTAAATAAATAATTTAAAAAAATAATATAATATTCATTACGTACGTGAACAGATTTGTGCAAGATATAGTAAAATATGTAATATTAAATATGCTTGCTCGAGTGATATGGTATAAGAACATAAGCTTCTATTATACATGAATAAAATTTTATGCATGACTATTTGTAAAATCTGGTTGTGCATCAACCTGGTTAACAATATAACAAACAAGTAAAAATGGTCTTCGTAGCAAACATTGCGTCTCTCGAGCATAATACCTAACGTAGGATATGCTTGTTCGCGTCGTCCGCTACAAGAGCATACGCGCCTATTATATTCAAATAAAAATTTATGTACACTCATTTCGAAAATATGGCTGTGTAGCGACCTTCATAATAAAGTAAGGAACAAATAAATAATGACGTTCGTAGCAAACATTATCTCTCCAGCAGAATACCTAACCCAGTATATGGTTACATGAGCGGCGCGCTACAAGTTGCATACATGCATTTCATATTTCAATAAATATTTATTGAATACGCCTTTCTTCTAAAAAATCCTTGATACTAAATTAAGAAACAAATAAAAAATTGTTGTCGTAGCAAACATTGTGCCTATGAAGCAGAATATCTTTCCTACTATATGCTTACACGAGCGGCGCGCTACAAATTGCATACGCGCATATTATGTTTCAATAAATATTTATACGCATTATACGCGCATATTATTATCTAGGTCACTACAAAGCCAGATTTGAAAAGAAGAAAAGAAATGTATATAATTTTTATTGAAATTTACGTGTATGCAAGTTGTAGCGCGGCGCTCGTGTAATCATATACTAGGTTAGGTATTCTACTTGGGAGACGTAATATTTGCAATGAAATCTATTTTTTATTTGTTCCTTACATTATTAACGAGGTCATTACATCGCCAGATTTTTCAGAAGAAGTGCGTATAAATATTTTTTGAAATATAATAGACGTGTATGTGACTTGTAGCGCACCACTCGTGTAAGCATATAGTAGAAAAGATATTCTGCTTCATAGACGCAATGTTTGCTACAACAACAATTTTTTATTTGTTCCTTATATTAGTATCGAGGTCACTACAGGGCCAGATTTCTCAGAAAAAATGCATAAAATATTTATTGAAATATAATATGCGCATATGCAACTTGTAGCGCGCCGCTTGTGTAATCATATACTAGATTAGATATTCTGCTTTAGAGACGCAATGTTTGCAAGGAAATCTATTTTTTATTTATTCTTTACGTTATTAACAAGGTCATTACACCGCCAGATTTTTCAAAAGAAATGCGTATAAATATTTTTTAAAATATAAATCGAGTTTTTTAATTCATCAATGGATCCATCGCATGTGTGTGATGCGCAAATGCAACGTTTCGCTGTATTTAAGCCCATTCTACAATTGCGTAAGCGTAGTCGTGAACGTAAGAGTCAACCAATCCGAATGTTTTATTCACTGATTGCTTTATTCTGATTGGTGTCGTAATCACTTACAACCTCTTACAACCACGTTCACGCAATTGTAGAATGGGCTTTACGCATCATGCAATGGATCCATCGATGAATTAAAAAACTTGCCCATAATAGTGGTCTGAGACCACTGGTTGCTCGAGGCGTTGCGAGCATTAAGTAGACCAAACCAACCAACCAAACGGTGTCGTAGTCACGAAACGAAAAAACGCCTTTATTGCATCAATTTTGTAGTTCAGCTGAAGAATAGATCATTAGTACTGTAACGTCCGGATCTATTTTAGAACATTAACAATATATTATTATAGACCGGGAGGCCGACTTGTCTGATTTCAGACATCACTAGATATTATATCCCTATGTTACTAGATGTAAGTACGTGCGCATATGCATATTCGCGAGCGTTAAAACATTATAATTAAAATGCCGAATGCTGCGTGCTGCTGGAGAGTCTCGAAATCGACGGATCTCGGATCGACCCAAAGAAACCGCTATCGCTCAGTGCGATAAGCCAACATAAACAGGAGCATGAAAGCTGAATCCTAAACACCACTCAGGACACCGACGCGGTGACATCATGCAAAGGAATGAATCTCTTCCCTCGCCATAACTCCATGGACCAATCGGAGAACGACTCTCAGCGACAAAGCGACGTATAAAAGCGCGCGCATTTGTAGAGAAGGCAATATATATAATTATTTTCTTCTCATAGTTAGTCTCTGGTAGCTTCATGTACTTATTCAGTATATTATACTTAGTCGTAAAATCCGACTGTGTTGCAATTACTTTTGCCTACCCTTCATATTTCAAACGTTGCGAAATCAAATTCTGAATCGCGGGCCGCATCAACCCGCGTGGTATCGGAACATCCGAGGCCGAGCCAGGAGAACAAGCACCGCTGACTTTTCGCCAGATTCATCAATCGTTTCGCCAGGCTCCCGAGACCCAGGGTAAACTCGGTGAAAAGCAGAGTGACCCAAAAGCGGAGCCATCACTCTGTTGACCGTCCACGTAAGTCACTGATTTCACTACTTTCAAATTTCCCTATATAGTTATCTATCGTGGACGTAACAGTACTGTAAACCGTAAAAAATGGCCAGTCATAATCAATTATTCTTGTAATAGTCGACTGTGATTTACCAATTTTTATGGTTTACGAGCTATTGAACGAGTTTTTTAATTCACACATGCGATGGATCCATCAATGAATTAAAAAACTTACTCATTGTAGACCAGGCTTTATTTAACCCTAAATTACGCAGTAAACTTAAGATGGCGGGTGGTATGATCAATAGGTTCAATTCGGCTCTTCAAAAACTAGAACAAACAATCCAGATACTTTTTGGACATGGATTTCCTCCAAGTAATTGAAAGTTAATATATGTACAAGTATGCCCAAATATTGTGGGAAGTCGTTATAAACAATTTAAGAAATATTTTAACTTTGCGTGTTTTTTAACCTCAATGAGCCGCGTGCAGTAACTTGTGTTTCCAAATGAGGAAATAGTATTAATTTTAATCAGATTTTAACCAAGTTCTTATTAAGTTAAAAAAGCGTTTTAATTTTTTATATATAGGACCATTATGCGCAATCGATTGCGATAACTTTTTGAGTGAACCAAAACCGGTTAACCGTCTCGGTAGCAAATCTTTAAAAGAAATTTTCGAAAACGGCATTTTGTGGGCAGTTCCAAAACACCGACGTAGTTTGGAACAAAGATATAAAAGAAAATTTGGGTTATTAAAATATGTGTGGAAGCCATTGATTGCAAAAACTAACATATTAATGTGTCTAAAATGTGGTCATCATTATGAAGCTAATCGCTTATGTGGTAAGTGTGCTACATGTTTAATACTAAAATACATTTTAATATTTTCAACATTCCTTTAACAACAATATTCTTTTACTACACAATATAGGACATTGTTATGAAAAAGTAAAACTTGAGACTAAGGAGATGCAAGATGCTATTCAAAAAGAATTAAAACTAAGCCCAGTAGAAGAGAACGTAATTGTATTATACGATGGAGAAAAGGATCAGAAAACAGATGAGTTCTGGAAGGTACTAAAACCATTGTTATATGTACATTGTAATAATAACTTCATAGAAGATAAATTTTAAATTTACTTATTCTTCTATCCAGAATCAAAGAATAGTAGAAATGCCAAAAAAAAGACCCTCATGGTTTCACCAGAACTTACTTGAACCAACAACACAGGAATCATCAGATAAAACGGATGTCAAACCTACAAATCTTGCATGAGGCATATTTAAAGTCAGATTTTAACAATTTGCAGTAAAAAATCAGAATATATATCTGTTGAACTGGGTTGAAATAATCATGAAAATTACTAGAGTGTTACTTTGTAAGTAGTGTTTTTACAAATAAATGCTGAATATATAAATATAAAATGGAAAGTCAAATCTGTAGTTTTGAAGAAAATAAATCAATATGCATTTCTTCAGTGTTTATTTAGGACAGTTTTCAAACTTGTAAATACTTTAACATAATACTATGTTAGTTATATTAATTAATTAATGTTTTAGTGATTAATAAATGAGATTTATGATCAAGTTCAAAGTTTTTGAAATTATGTGTTTAATAAAATCCATAAGATTTCTGATTTTTTGTATATTTATGTATTATGGTTTATTGCATTAAGTTTCATTTTTATATTGTTACCACTATTATTATCATAAAGTTATTTCTAATATAACAGAAAAAAACAAAAAAGGAGGAAAAAAGAATGTTAAGGGAGAAAATAAAAAGAACAAAGAAAATAAAACAGAAAATATTGATATAACATATAAATATGAAAATGTAACAAAGTATCACAAATACAACTTAAAGATGATATATAAAAGCAAATATAAAAATAAAAAATTATTTAAAACTCTTGACTCTTCGCCATGTCACCTCGATTTATGACATCAGAAATGAGAAAATTCATGCCCAAAATTCTCGCAAAGTGCATCAAAATAAAAAGTATATATCCAAAAAATGACATTTGCAATCGATTAAGCACACCTCTAAAATACTCCAAACACTTTCTTTTTGCCCTAAAAATTAATAAATAACCGTAAAATTGACATGACAAAATAATGAGGAAATATAAGTTAAATAGCAAACATATCACGTTAATTTTACGATTATATATTGATTGGAGTGAAAAGAGTGTTCAGGGTATTTTAGAGATGTGCTTAATTTACTGCAAATGTCATTTTTAAATATATTTTTTTATTTCAAAGTTTGCAGGAATTTTAAACATAAATTTTCTCATTTTTTGCATTAAACAAGAGTTCCACTAAGAGCTTTAAGAATATATATAAGTAAATTTTTAAAATTCGATTAAAATTCGACAAAGTCGATACATGTACGAAATATTCATTAGCCAAAATACAAAGTCAATTGATACAACTGAATTTTCCACAATACATTCTATGACGCTCTACATAGAGTAGAATATTTATTGTTTTTTGTTTAATTGGAAAACAGATGTTTCTTAATTCACTGACCATTTATTATTATAAAAATAGATACACTTTTTGTGCATTGTATATGTAGTAGTTCTTTGCTTCATCCTGTTTTATTGTATCGTTTTATTTATTAACTTACGTATATCTTGTGTGCCTACTATTTGTTTTGTAATCTATTTTGTAAATCTAATAAAAACATAGATCTTGTATGTACGCGTAAAAATCCTAAAAGGACAATCGCGTATAATACGCTATCTGGACGTGTCAAATTGTTCTACGTGCGAAAATCAGTGCACGAGTTCAAAACCATCTACTGATAGCTCCTTTGTAAAGTGACTTAATACATGTTCGTGGAACTCCGCAAACGAAACGGACTTTCCGTACATATTTCCACATAACGGACATATATTGCTGTCCATGTCCGAATTATCGGAGTGGTTAGTGCACTTTTCCATCGAAATGCTGGGTGTCATAAGACTAGTCTGAGTAGCTCCATGTTCCTTGAAGCTGTCATCAGAATCGGATTGCGTACCCGTTTGGCACATTTTTTTATTAGCATTCTTTCGACAATTATTACATGTTGCCCCTGAGAAACATATATTCGTCTTTATGTCTTTTGACGATCTTATAAAAAGAACTTTATTGTCGAAATTACCAATGATTAAAGCTCCTGGCCCCTCACATTGTCTATCTCTTTTTAATGACGTTAGAAGCGAGAAAATGCATGCTTAAAAATTTTTGCGAAAACGTTAAAATAAAAATATATATCCATAAAGTAACACTTGCAATCGATTAAACAAATTTATAAAATATTTGCACTTCACTTTTGCTCTAACAATCAATAATTTGTCGTAAATTAACGTGTCATACAATTCATCTTCTTAACCTATTTCTTCGCCTATTTCTATTCAGATTAATTTATAATAAAGTATTGATTGTTA